AGAAGTAGATGTAAGGTACCCGATGATGGAGAAGATAGCCTTCGCATTGATAACTGTATCCAAAAACTGAGACCTTATTTCCAAGCTCATCTCATTATATTACTTATTGAAATACCCTTACACCAAGTTCTTCAGAAATTGGACATGTCTAGATGATTAGAAAAATGTTCCACCGAGCTTGGAGAGGTCGACATCGACTATGTCCCGAGAACAATTGTAAAGAGGCAAGTAATTGTTGACAGTTTGCCCTTGAGGCACCGCATCTCGATGACGTTGACATTCAGATAGGGAGTGGCGAATGTATGTCGATGGGTCCTCCAATTCAATAGGAGGGGGAACTGGATTGATTCTTATCTTACAAACTGAGGAGAATATTGAGTATGCACTACGCTTTGGATTCAAGGCCTCAAATAATGAGGTAGAATACAAGACTCAGACCGTAGGACTCCAATTGTCTAAAGCACTAGGGGCGAAGAGCCTGAAGGTGTGAAGTGACTCACAATTTCAGGGTGACTATCAAGCCCCTCACATAGCTGGGATTAAGTCTATTCTAACTCAATAGAAGCGAAGACAAGACTTTCAAGCCCTCACCTAGCTTGGATTGAGTCTATTCAACTTAACAGAAGTAAAGAAGAGACTTTGAAACCTCTCGCCTAACTTCGATTGAGTCTATTTGACTCAACAAAAGCAAAAATGGGACTTTTAAGCCTCTCGTCTAGCTCAGATTGAGTCTTTTTGACTCAAAAGAAGCAAAGTTGGGGCTTTCAAGCTCCTCAATTGGTTCGAATAAAGTTCAAAAGTGACTTTTAGAAAATTAACATTCTTCCAAAATTCAAGGGGGTAGGGGGAGAGCAAGGAAGGCAAAGTAGTGTTCATTCATTAACAAACTATGCTCTACAATTTTTATGAAAAATACAAAAAAAATAGAAGGTAGCATGATTGAAGTTTAGTTAGCCTCTTTCTTGCGCTTCCTAAACGAAAAATATCCTTTTTTCCTAGCTCCACTGCGCAAGTCAGCGGCCTATACCAACTTCATAGTTGGCTTTGCATCATCATCCTTTAAAGTTGCTGTTGATCCCTCATCGTCATAAAGTATTTCCTTTGCAATAGCAAGTGGGGGACCAAGACCAAGGAAAGCAAGTGTCCCAAGGATAATTAAACTCCTAGGAGGCCTCTCCATTTCAAACTTGAACAAGCAAGAGTCATTTAAGGTAAAGAGGGCAAGAATCCACAGCGAAAGTAGTAACAAAACTTACTTGTGTTATCATCAACCTCAAAATATCTTCATGAGCCGCCATTAGCTTGGCATCTCTTGTCTCTAGTTGGGAATGAATATTATCAAATTGTTCCTCGAAGGCATTCTTCTCACCAAAAGCAGTATAGGAAAGGCTAGTTGTGAGGATGGCAAGCTAAGAGGAAAGTAAGAATAGAGCAGAAGGGAAATGAGGTAATCATATAAAAAATATGAGAGCCTTGCCTTTCCAATAGTTAAAGCCAAATTTTTATTCACCCAAGTTGTTCCAAGGTTGAAAGTGGCTTCCACCTCCTATGCATAAACAAAACTCATGGAGCCTAGCTATAGCCTCGTCAATACTATTCCACTTCGTTGATTGAGCAGGCATAGGATCCATAGGAGGGCTCGGAATAACATGCTTATTCTCTTCAGCCATTTTAGAGACATTTAGCCTTGTATTTGTCTTTTGGAGGAGCAAGAGGTGTCTCCGCCAAGGGAACCTTTAGAAGAGGATCGTCCACTTGTTAAGTAGCCAAAAACTGACCCCTTCCTCCAGAGCAACCTTGGAAACAGGAGAAGTCACTGATAAAGGGTCAGAGCTTAGGGATGCCATTTAGCCTTTTGCACAAAGGTGGACTGGCATTAGAAGTCCTCCTAGCCGCAATCTCTTGAAGCATTTTTTNAGAGCAACCTTGGAAACAGGAGAAGTCACTGATAAAGGGTCAGAGCTTAGGGATGCAATTTAGCCTTTTGCACAAAGGTGGATTGGCATTAGAAGTCCTCCTAGCCGCAATCTCTTGAAGCATTTTTTTGTTGACTAGCTTAAGAGCTATGACTAGAGCAAAGAAAGGCAAAAGATGAGCCATGGCATGCATAGGCTAGAAATAGAATTCTAATGATAAATTATACCTTTGGTGGAAGAGGTTGCTGTAGTTGGAGCATCAGGGGCAGTGATTGAAGGACCTAACTGACACTCAAAGAGCTTTTGATCACTAACAAGGTTGGAAAGATCTTTGGTAGGATAGTCAAGAGCCTTCTTGACTTGTAGGTTCAGTTCGGGAGTTAGGTGATTTGATTTACCTACACTTTAAGAAAGTGAAATATGAAAATTTCAATAAAGCTCCACAACAGATAAAATCAAAGGAAATCTACTTAGGAGGAGAATGAGTAGGAGTTCTCCATAGACGAGGAACTAAAAAGGGTCTGTTAGAAAGGGTTTTCGATGGCGCAATTCCATTTAGACCCAGAGATGAATAAAAACTTGTCTTTCTACTCCTTCACATTTGAAAAATAGACCATCAAAAGGCTTTTTCCCTCTCGCTTTGAAAGATAAAACCACCACAGGCCCTGAGCAAAGGGTAAGTTTATAGCAATACATAAGCTCAACAAGAGTAGGTTGAATCCCAATGTCGTTAGCCCTAGCCCAAATAACACCAATACTAACCAAGGACCCCTAAATATTTGGGGTCAATTGGGCAGGAGCAAGATTCAAGAAATGAAGAGCCTCCCTTATATACTTGTCATTGGGAAGGGAAGTCCAGCCTCAAAGATAGATTCATTGAAATAGGCCTTATTTGGGCCAAAAGAGTTAGCATTTTTGTCAAAAGAATGAACACTAAGGTGGACGGAGTTAGGGATTTGGTACAAAGCCCTAATTTCCTTAGGGGCATCCTCATAAAGGAAACTACAATAGAGCTCGGCCCCAACGACCTTGAGAGACGAAGAGCCAATATCGAGTATGCAGTCTGAGTCCTCATTCTCAGCATTAGCCTGGGACACCAGTGTCCAGATATTATCAAAAGGAGCGTGCTTAGAATCAGTCGCCATTGTAGGGAAGCAACAATGATTAATGTATAAACTCGGTGGAGGAAGGCAATTAGCACTATGGTAAGTAGAGAAAGGCAATGATCAAACACCATTCTAGTCGGACTTGAGTAGGTCTATCTACAAAGAACACAAGATGATCAAGGATGAAATTCTTCCATTGGAGGAAACAAAAGTGATAAAAATGAAACTGAAAAGTGTGGCTCCAACCATTGTGCTACATGATGAAGAGTTTTAGTGAAACAAAAAGAGGAAAGATGATAAAGATGAAGAAGAATGGGTGTGCTAGAGTTTTTGAAGACGTTAAATAATGGTCCCACATTGAGCTTTTGAAGACGTTAAATAATGGTCCCAAGAGGTGTCTCCGCCAAGGGAACCTTTTTGAAGAATGGGTGTGGGAAGCAAAGGGGAAGAAGGCTTTAAATAATGGTCCCACATTGCTCTTTTTGGCAATTATTTATATACAATCCATGTTTCCTCTTCCCCGGCCATTAACAGACAAATGGATTAAATCTGTGGCATGTGCAATTCATGCTAATCTGAATTGAGGGGCAACTAATGATGGTAAAATAAACACTAGCTTAGTAGAGGAGCTCTGCAGCTCGACAAGGGAGCTCCGTAGCTCAGTGAGGCCTGGTCCTTAGTTCTTGGCTCACCAGCATGTCAAACCTACATCCCAACTTAGCTGAGTCCTAATTCATCAAACTTCAAATAAAGGATAAAAATCCTCCAACGGTCCAACCGGCCTATAAAAAGGACAAGCTGGATATCATCCAGAGGTAAGTTTGAACTCTAAGCTAAATACAATCGTTATCAATAATTTCTTTATGAGTTTATTATCAAAGGATAGACCACCAGAACCCCTCTAGTCCTCGATTTCTCTTGCAAGGACTCTCCCAGGGCAGTCAAGGTGTAATTCTAGCCAATCACATCCCCAGAGTTTGGTGGGCTGTTTTCGGCATCAACAAAATCAAAATGCAAAAATTAAAAAATAGTGAACCCTTTAAATAGTGCCTAGACCACAGGGTTTGGCTGGCCCGAGCGCAGACTAGAGACTAAACTTTTAGTGGTCCTACCTAGATCTCATGCCAAACTAACCCATACGGGTTCTAAATACTTTGGGTTGCCCACCTTACAAATCAACAAATGATCATGCACACACAAGCACACACTGTGAGGGTTAAGGGAAGGATTTAGCATCCTTCATGTATATTTATTGTGAGAAGGTAAAGAAAACCAATATAAATGAAACAAAATGTTTGGAGTAATCCTTCTAAGTGTGCATCATGTGAGCAATTTATTCTGCTGAATTGGATGAGTTTTGCTTGAAATTGATCTATCCAGGCAGTAAGGTCAAAACTTTATTGATTTTTTGCGCTTATCCTCATCAAATTAATTTCAGTAATACTACATTGACCAAATTTTAGGACAAAATTTAGAGTCCAAATGACATGGCAGCTAACTTGGACTTCTTTATTTTATGTCATATTATTTGTGTCACAATAAAAACTGTAAATAATATGCTGTCATGTCATTTGAGTTTCAAATTTGGTCAGCATAATATTACTAAATTAATTTTGAGCCATTTATTTTGAAGTAATACTGCCTCGATGGAGTTGCATCACACCGTCAGATAACTAGTTTCAATTAGTTTCAACGTAAACTGAAGTTTTTTCTTGATAAAAAGCTTTCTTATGAAATCGAACCNATTTATTTTGAAGTAATACTGCCTCGATGGAGTTGCATCACACCGTCAGATAACTATTTTCAATTAGTTTCAACGTAAACTGAAGTTTTTTCTTGATAAAAAGCTTTCTTATGAAATCGAATCCGAGCAACGTGACAATCAGTACAGAGTGCAGCTTAGAGTTCTCAGGTCAATGTTTTAAGAAAATCATCACTTATTATCATAGAGTATCTGTTGCACAAAATGAAGTTGCTTCTAAACTGGACATTTTAGCATTCTCGCAGTCTCGCTTGAAATACCAATACAAAGGCGAGTAAACAGGCAACACAAACCAAATGGAATTGCCATCATCGCAAGAAGCCCTCTTGATAACGCATAGGCGTCTTGTGCAGACCCTGCAGTCGGATCAACAGAGGTTGGGTCATACCCATATATCTTCTCCGAAAGAGTTCCGACAACAGGAGCAGCAAAAGAAGAGAAGGACATTTCGAAAGCACGATCGACTGCATAAATCATGGTCCGATTTTCGGTCGGAACAACCTCGGCAAACATGGGTCCATTTGCAGCAGAGACAGACCAACTGATGGTAAGGCCCATGATGAAGATGGTGGCAGCATATGCAGAATAGCTACTCACTGACTGTGGGATTACTGTGAGAAGAAACCATGAGGTTGGGATGCCCATGAGAGCACTGAACTGTGCACACATTATACGTCCTGAGTTAGGGTAAATGAGTGAAATTCGATCTCCTATTAGGCCTCCGAGTAAGGATCCTATGGCGCATCCAGCTCCAAAGAGACTATTGATGGTTGCTGCACTGTTGTGATCAAAACCTCCAAAAAGGACCAACTTAAGTCATGCATCTTGGAAGTAAAGGGAGCAAGTCAACACTGGAATTATATTACCAAGTTAAGGAATCGGTATATTACTGAAATTACTACTCTAACTTTACATAAAATTATGTTGTTAAAATTTGATTTGAACGATAGTACCCGAATCGTGTTGTGGAGTGTTTTAATCATGTCATTTTAAGTCTGTCTCAAGAAATAGTGTTATTTCATCTAATAGTTTTCTGATTCCTTTATTAGTTTTGCCTACTTCGTGTTGACATAGATGGCATGTGAACACCAAATTCACAATTAAAATTCTATTTTTTTTTTAANCTTCGTGTTGACATAGATGGCATGTGAACACCAAATTCACAATTAAAATTCTATTTATTTTTTTTTAAAATCAAATCTGCTACTCAAGGTCAATCATAAACTTAAAATCTACTTGACTTTTATGCCTCAAAAACCACCTGAATGGAGGATTCCCAAAATACCATCACAACAAATGGAAAGAAAAAAAAATATACTAAAATTTTCTCTAATTCTATATCAACTAAACGTTTTTTATATGTCTGGATTAGGTTATTCGTTTTAACCAAAAACTTAAGTCATTCATTGTTCGCATTACTGCGTTGTGTATTATTCCCAATGAGCAAAGACTTAAAAATTTGACTTTATAATGTGGTTGTTATATTTATTATTAATTTAACTATGAGTCATACTATTTATTATGACCTACTACGTATTTGGTGATAGTAATTTAAAAAGTCAAGTTTTTAAGTCAGGTTTTTAAATCTATTTAGGATTTTCTATTCAAAATTCCTACGGAGAGTTACTCACCCGCAACTAGCTAATTTTGAGTCACATTTATAGTCTTAACATATCAATATCGAAAATTGTCACCTATATTTCAAACAGTGGCTCTAGTGTAATTATAGGTAGTCATCTTTGATTCTATGTGATGGGGAACAATTATCATAGAGCATCATTATGAGATTTGTATACATGCTCACCAATTAGTTCAAACCAAAATGTTAAGAACACGGTGGCTGTCCAAGGCAGGGATCCAACAAGACCCTGCATGACAATGAACCGAAATGTTTTCACTCTCATGACATTTTTCATTGCCGTCCAGGACTCCAGCCAAGTTGATGCTGTTCTGTCCTTGCCTTTAGCTAACAGAACATCCCTAAAACGAGAAGCAACCGAATTACCAAAGCTTGGAAGAAGCTGAAAAATGCAGAGTAGGAGAAGGTTCATTACCAAACAAACCTTGAATTGATTTGGCACAGTATATAAAGTAGGATTTTAAATATGGGGGGAATTTCAGTATTTTATCAATTGTTATGTTTTTATTGAACCATGAAACACAAGCCTGCATTGTCTTGGTTACAATTATATATTTTCTAAGACAAAAGACTCTTTAAAAGATTTAAATTTTTAACTTTAAAATAAGAGTAATGATATAGGAATCTTATTTAAAAATCTTATTTAGGAATTTAATAATATGATTTTAATATAACTATTAGATTAGTTATGAATTTCAATATTACATAGAGCCTACAATCAATCAAATAGTTGTATATCTTTGAGTTCATAAATACTCTATCCGTTCCTAAATATCTGTCGTTTAAGATTTTTACACAGGGATTAAAGAAGCTATTAAATAGCTCTAACATGAGTAAAAAATAATTGCACAAGATTAAAATATTTTTATTCAATACGTATTGGAAAGGAAAAAAATATGAAAGACACTTAACCTCCATCTAATTTAATGCATTGAAAAATTAAGGATAAATTTTGTAAAAAAAAATATTAATTATATTTTAATTTTATTAAATGACAGATATTATAAAATAAAAATAATTATGTACAACGATAGATATTTAGAAACGGAAGAAATAAGTTTTACGGCCCACATAAAATTTGCCTTCAAATAATAGTTACGTCGAATCTTTCTTCACCAACTAATTTGTCGGTTACCTAAAACAGGAAAGGTAGGAGNATTCAAAATTCCTACGGAGAGTTACTCACCCGCAACTAGCTAATTTTGAGTCACATTTATAGTCTTAACATATCAATATCGAAAATTGTCACCTATATTTCAAACAGTGGCTCTAGTGTAATTATAGGTAGTCATCTTTGATTCTATGTGATGGGGAACAATTATCATAGAGCATCATTATGAGATTTGTATACATGCTCACCAATTAGTTCAAACCAAAATGTTAAGAACACGGTGGCTGTCCAAGGCAGGGATCCAACAAGACCCTGCATGACAATGAACCGAAATGTTTTCACTCTCATGACATTTTTCATTGCCGTCCAGGACTCCAGCCAAGTTGATGCTGTTCTGTCCTTGCCTTTAGCTAACAGAACATCCCTAAAACGAGAAGCAACCGAATTACCAAAGCTTGGAAGAAGCTGAAAAATGCAGAGTAGGAGAAGGTTCATTACCAAACAAACCTTGAATTGATTTGGCACAGTATATAAAGTAGGATTTTAAATATGGGGGGAATTTCAGTATTTTATCAATTGTTATGTTTTTATTGAACGATGAAACACAAGCCTGCATTGTCTTGGTTACAATTATATATTTTCTAAGACAAAAGACTCTTTAAAAGATTTAAATTTTTAATTTTAAAATAAGAGTAATGCTATAGGAATCTTATTTAAAAATTTTATTTAGGAATTTAATAATATAATTTTAATATAACTATTAGATTAGTTATGAATTTCAATATTACATAGAGCCTACAATCAATCAAATAGTTGTATATCTTTGAGTTCATAAATACTCTATCCGTTCCTAAATATCTGTCGTTTAAGATTTTTACACAGGGATTAAAGAAGCTATTAAATAGCTTTAATATGAGTAAAAAATAATTGCGTAAGATTAAAATATTCTTATTCAATACGTATTGGAAAGGAAAAAAATATGAAAGACACTTAGCCTCCATCTAATTTAATGCATTGAAAAATTAAGGATAAATTTTGTAGAAAAAAATATTAATTATATTTTAATTTTATTAAATGACAGATATTATGAAATAAAAAAAATTATGTAAAACAATAAATATTTAAGAACGAAAAAAATAAATTTTACGGCCCACATAAAATTTGCCTTCAAATAATAGTTACGTCGAATCTTTCTTCACCAAGTAATTTGTCGGTTACCTAAAACAGGAAAGGCAGGGGAAATGAATGCATCGGGGAGTTAGAAATTGAAAAGTACAGATAAATCCAAAGAAATTCAATCGCCTGACCTACCTTTCCGTATTCTCGCCAGACTCTTGATCAATTTTCATTGTTTTTCTTGGATCAACCGCAAACAAAAACACCAGAAAACCAATCAAGGAACCGAGTGTTGCCATCATAATGAACGCACAACGCCACCCGGGTACACCCCAGAACTCATAACCCGCCATAACCGTCGCAATAGCTCCACCTCCTATACCACCCACAGTCCCAATAAGAATGAGGACCCCAAACCCAACCCCCCTCGAACAATCCGCATAGCTATCAGCTATAAAAGACTGGAGCGCCGGTATCACAATTGCCAATCCCAACCCATGCACTGCTCTCAAAAACGCAACTTGCCAGAAATACTGACTAACACCCACTGCTGCGGTTGATAAAGCCCAGCACAGGGTGCCCAGGGCAAGAACTGTTGGACGATCATGGTTAATTACTAGAATACTCACCATCGGAGACGCCAACCCCTGCACGAAGTTCCGGATGAAGGTGAGGTACCCGAGATCTGAGGGCCCAGCGGTAAAAGCTTCACTGACTTCTTTGTAGACGGCTGGTAGGAGATTTTCATCGGCACGCTCCATAATGGAGGCCATGTTGATGATGATCAGAGACAGAGAGAGAGAAAAGCCAAAAAAGGAGGAAGACATATCGGCGGAATCAGCAAACAGAGTTCGTTAGTTTGTTTATAGAGCAAAATTTCTGCTCAAGGCCGGCTCGATAGAAATTGGGACTAACGAGTGAGTGAGAAACAGGGAAGACTACAGAACCTTTGTGGCATGAAAATTGTATTAGTAAGCGTAAGAAGATGCATGCTGTTAAGGTGTTGACAACACATATAGCTAATTAAATGAGGGACACTTTGGTAGTGTTGTGATCGTGCAACAATTATGGTGAATAGTAAGAAATCAAACAATTAAGAAAATAAGAAGAAATAACACACAGATATTTACGTGGTTCGGCAATGTGCCTACATCCACGAGAGCGAGCGGCCGTTCTTTTTTCTTTATTAAAGTAGAGTTACATCTTAAGTATTTATATAACCCTAATATGGACGTATTTACAAAAATATCCATGTACCGTACCGCGGGGCTGTTGCCCCCGCACCCCCAACTATTCAGCGTCCCCTTTATATAAATCCCGCAAGGCAGATGCCGTCGCGGGCTCTGCCCACNCCCACATAAAATTTGCCTTCAAATAATAGTTACGTCGAATCTTTCTTCACCAACTAATTTGTCGGTTACCTAAAACAGGAAAGGTAGGAGAAATGAATGCATCGGGGAGTTAGAAATTGAAAAGTACAGATAAATCCAAAGAAATTCAATCGCCTGACCTACCTTTCCGTATTCTCGCGAGACTCTTGATCAATTTTCATTGTTTTTCTTGGATCAACCACAAACAAAAACACCAGAAAACCAATCAAGGAACTGAGTGTTGCCATCATAATGAACGCACAACGCCACCCGGGTACACCCCAGAACTCATAACCCGCCATAACCGTCGCAATAGCTCCACCTCCTATACCACCCACAGTCCCAATAAGAATGAGGACCCCAAACCCAACCCCCCTCGAACAATCCGCATAGCTATCAGCTATAAAAGACTGGAGCGCCGGTATCACAATTGCCAATCCCAACCCATTCACTGCTCTCAAAAACGCAACTTGCCAGAAATACTGACTAACACCCACTGCTGCGGTTGATAAAGCCCAGCACAGGGTGCCCAGGGCAAGAACTGTTGGACGATCATGGTTAATTACTAGAATACTCACCATCGGAGACGCCAACCCCTGCACGAAGTTCCGGATGAAGGTGAGGTACCCGAGATCTGAGGGCCCAGCGGTAAAAGCTTCACTGACTTCTTTGTAGACGGCTGGTAGGAGATTTTCATCGGCACGCTCCATAATGGAGGCCATGTTGATGATGATCAGAGACAGAGAGAGAGAAAAGCCAAAAAAGGAGGAAGACATATCGGCGGAATCAGCAAACAGAGTTCGTTAGTTTGTTTATAGAGCAAAATTTCTGCTCAAGGCCGGCTCGATAGAAATTGGGACTAACGAGTGAGTGAGAAACAGGGAAGACTACAGAACCTTTGTGGCATGAAAATTGTATTAGTAAGCGTAAGAAGATGCATGCTGTTAAGGTGTTGACAACACATATAGCTAATTAAATGAGGGACACTTTGGTAGTGTTGTGATCGTGCAACAATTATGGTGAATAGTAAATAATCAAACAATTAAGAAAATAAGAAGAAATAACACACAGATATTTACGTGGTTCGGCAATGTGCCTACATCCACGAGAGCGAGCGGCCGTTCTTTTTTCTTTATTAAAGTAGAGTTACATCTTAAGTATTTATATAACCCTAATATGGACGTATTTACAAAAATATCCATGTACCGTACCGCGGGGCTGTTGCCCCCGCACCCCCAACTATTCAGCGTCCCCTTTATATAAATCCCGCAAGGCAGATGCCGTCGCGGGCTCTGCCCACTCCGGCATCTGCCTCCTTGCCATTATGCACACAGCAAATATAAGCCACACATACTCTAACAATCTCCACCTTGGCAAATATTCACCCCTTAGAAGAAAAGAGAGGACATGTATTCGGGAACTCCACCGGGTANTAGTCATCTTTGATTCTATGTGATGGGGAACAATTATCATAGAGCATCATTATGAGATTTGTATACATGCTCACCAATTAGTTCAAACCAAAATGTTAAGAACACGGTGGCTGTCCAAGGCAGGGATCCAACAAGACCCTGCATGACAATGAACCGAAATGTTTTCACTCTCATGACATTTTTCATTGCCGTCCAGGACTCCAGCCAAGTTGATGCTGTTCTGTCCTTGCCTTTAGCTAACAGAACATCCCTAAAACGAGAAGCAACCGAATTACCAAAGCTTGGAAGAAGCTGAAAAATGCAGAGTAGGAGAAGGTTCATTACCAAACAAACCTTGAATTGATTTGGCACAGTATATAAAGTAGGATTTTAAATATGGGGGGAATTTCAGTATTTTATCAATTGTTATGTTTTTATTGAACGATGAAACACAAGCCTGCATTGTCTTGGTTACAATTATATATTTTCTAAGACAAAAGACTCTTTAAAAGATTTAAATTTTTAATTTTAAAATAAGAGTAATGCTATAGGAATCTTATTTAAAAATTTTATTTAGGAATTTAATAATATAATTTTAATATAACTATTAGATTAGTTATGAATTTCAATATTACATAGAGCCTACAATCAATCAAATAGTTGTATATCTTTGAGTTCATAAATACTCTATCCGTTCCTAAATATCTGTCGTTTAAGATTTTTACACAGGGATTAAAGAAGCTATTAAATAGCTTTAATATGAGTAAAAAATAATTGCGTAAGATTAAAATATTCTTATTCAATACGTATTGGAAAGGAAAAAAATATGAAAGACACTTAGCCTCCATCTAATTTAATGCATTGAAAAATTAAGGATAAATTTTGTAGAAAAAAATATTAATTATATTTTAATTTTATTAAATGACAGATATTATGAAATAAAAAAAATTATGTAAAACAATAAATATTTAAGAACGAAAAAAATAAATTTTACGGCCCACATAAAATTTGCCTTCAAATAATAGTTACGTCGAATCTTTCTTCACCAAGTAATTTGTCGGTTACCTAAAACAGGAAAGGCAGGGGAAATGAATGCATCGGGGAGTTAGAAATTGAAAAGTACAGATAAATCCAAAGAAATTCAATCGCCTGACCTACCTTTCCGTATTCTCGCCAGACTCTTGATCAATTTTCATTGTTTTTCTTGGATCAACCGCAAACAAAAACACCAGAAAACCAATCAAGGAACCGAGTGTTGCCATCATAATGAACGCACAACGCCACCCGGGTACACCCCAGAACTCATAACCCGCCATAACCGTCGCAATAGCTCCACCTCCTATACCACCCACAGTCCCAATAAGAATGAGGACCCCAAACCCAACCCCCCTCGAACAATCCGCATAGCTATCAGCTATAAAAGACTGGAGCGCCGGTATCACAATTGCCAATCCCAACCCATTCACTGCTCTCAAAAACGCAACTTGCCAGAAATACTGACTAACACCCACTGCTGCGGTTGATNAAACCAAATCTTCAAAACCATACCTGGTAGGTGGCTTGATATTGCGTTTGGGCCTGTCTGTGGCTATACTATGATGTTGTTGATCACCTGAGATAGAACGCTCTACATGCTGAGCATCCTCTTCTCTACCATGATTCTCTAGCTCCACCTGCACCACATGGTCATTAGTGCTACAGTTTTCTGATACTTGTTTCTCTTCTTCCTGAGTACGCTGCAACATGACTTTTTCATCAAAAACCACATCTCTACTGACCACCATCTTGTTTGCCTTCGGATCCCAGAGCTTGAAGCCTTTCACCCCTATCCCAGAAAGATACACTGTCTAGACTTTGCATCAAGCTTCGACCTCTCCTCACTAGAAACATGTACATAGGGTGGACATCCAAACACTCTCAAACCAGAGTAGTCTACCTCACTGCTTATCCACACCTCATCTGATACTTTCCCACTAGTGCTGCCCTCGGTGATATGTTAATCAAGAAACATGTCATATTCATTGCCTCTGCCCAAAAATTCTTTGCAAGCTCTGCATTCAACCTGAGACACCGAGCTTTCTCGGCTATCGTTCTGTTCATCCTTTCCGCTACACCATTTTGTTGTGGTGTCTTGCGGACTGTGAAGTGTCTCTTGATCCCATGCTGCTCACACAACTCCTGGAACTTTGAATCTGTGTACTCAGTACCATTATCTGACCTGAGGCATTTAATCTTCCTCCCTGTCTGGTTCTCTACTTCAGCTTTCCACAGCTTGAACTTGGCAAACGCTTCTGACTTGTGCCGCATGAAGTACACCCAGACCTTTCGTGAGTAATCATCAATGAAACTCACGAAATACATGTATCCTCCCCGTGATAGTACGCTAACTGGTCCCCAAACATCTGTATGGACATAGTCGAGA